CTGTTCAAGAAATGAACTTCCATTTACTGAAAATGAAGATAGAAGCAACAAAGAAAATATAACTGAGGAAATTCTGGAAATGGAAAATCTAGGCAAGAGAGCAGGAACTACGAACACAAGCATCACCAACAGAATACAAGAGATGGAAGAGAGAATCATGCTGAAGATATGGTAGAGGAAATAGATCCATTAGTTAAAGAAAATATTAAATCTAAAAAGTTCCTGACATAAAACATCCAGGTAATCAGAGCCACCATGAATGGACCAAGCCTAAGAATAATAGAAATAGAAGAAGAAAAGACAGGTGGTGGTGGTGCACACTTTTAATCCCAGCAATCTGGAGGCAGAGTCAGGGGGATGTCTGTAAGTTTGAGGTCAGCTCAGTCTACAGAGCAAATCCCAGGTCATGCAAAGATACACAGAGAAACCCCAACTCAAAAAGAAAAAAGAAAGAAAGAAAGAAAGACAGAAGAGAGAAGAATCTCAACTCAAAGACCCAGAAAATATTTCCAACAAAATCATAGAAGAAAAATTTTCCAACCTAAAGAAGGATATGCCTATCAAGATACAAGAAGCATACAGAACCCCAATTAGATTGGACCAGAAAGGAAGTTCCCTCAACACATAATAATCAAAACACTAAACATATAGAACAAAAAAAGTATATGGCCTATCAGAATTACACTTGACTTCTTAATGGAGAGTCTAAAAGCCAGAAGGGCCTGGATGGGTGTCTTGTAGGCCACTGATACCAGCCAAAACTACTATAACCAGCAAAACTTTCAATCACCATAGAGGGAGAAAGCAAGGTATTTCATGACAATCAAATTTAAACAATATCTATCCATAAATCCATACCTAAAGAAGGTACTAGAAGGAAAACTCTAACCTAAGGAGGTTAACTACACCCACAAAAACACAGGCAGTAAATAATCTCACCCCAGCAAAACCCAAAATAGGGAAATACACACCCACCACCACCTCCTCCTTCTCCTCCACCACCAGCTACCCAAATAACAGGAATGAACAATCATTGGTCATTAATGTCTCTTGATATCAGTGAACTCAATTCCCCAATAAAAACACAAGGGCTAACAGAATAGATACAAAATCAGGATCCATCATTCTGCTGCATACAAGAAACACATCAATATCAAAGATGGATAGCACCTCAGAGTAAAGGGTTGGAAAAGATTTTGCAAGCAAAAGGATCCAAGAATCCAGTAATCTGGGATGACTATCCTAATATCTAACAAAATAGATTTCAAACCAAAATGAATTAAAAGTGACAGAGAAAGACATTTAATATTCATCAAAAGAAAAATCCACCAAGATGATGTTTCAGCTCTTAACATCTATGCCCCAAATGCAAGAGCACCCACATTTGTAAAGCTTAATTGCATACCAAACCTCACACATTAGTAATGTGAGACTTTGATACCTGACTCTCACCAATGGGCAGTTCATCCAGACAAAAACCCGAATGGGTGAAACACAGCTATGCCTATGAGCGAGCTATACATCCATTCACGCATTCCTCTGTCTGCAAGCTTGTGTTTCTCCAGGGTGACCCTGAGGTCATATAAGACCTTGTCATATGGCCTTTGAGATCCTGATACATGCTGTCACTAGAGCTCCCTGGTACATCAAAAAGTACCACAAAAGAAAATAAAATGAGTCTCACGGGCTTGTCTGGGAAAACTGACTCTGTTTTCCCCAATGATTTCTGCGGCCTTTTCCAGCAGCTTCCTTGTCTACACCAAGTCCTGCAGCTTGCCTTGTGCAGAACCCTTTGCTTACACAACGGTATCTTAGCTGTCTTCCTGTACCCTTCCCTTCTAAAATCTGGACTATAGAGAAAATCGTGAAAGTTTCAACCACCCTAAAAAGCTCCTCTATGCACACACGCGCGTATGTGTGCATGAGTGTGTGTGTATTGGGGTGTGTAAATGTGTGCATAGAGGGAAATGTTGGGGTTTCCTGCTCTACTGTTTTCTGCCTTGATCCCCTGAGACAGGGTCTCTCACTGAACCTAGAGCGAGCCTGGTGGGAAGGAAGCCCCAGTGACCTTCCTGGCTCTGCCCCTGACAATATTGGTTACTGGTATGCAAAACTACAAATAACTTTTCACATGTGTGCTGGGGATTTGAACTTGGGTCCTCGTGCTTTGACAGCAAGGGCCCTTACCCACTGAGCCATCTCCCCAGCTGCCCCCCCCATAGCCGCTTTTTACATTTTATTTATTTTTATTTCATTGCATTGTTGTTTTGTCTGCACGTGTGTCTGTGTGAGGATGTTGTATTCCCTGGAAATAGAGTCACAGACAGTTGTGAGCTGCCATGTGGGTGCTGGGAATTGAACCTAGGTCCTCTGAAAGAGCAGGCAGTGGTCTTAACCGCTGAGCCACTGCCCACAGTGGTCACTTTTAATCTCAAAAGAACATACAAGAACATGCTACGAATTCTGTATGTAAAGACAAACATATGGGCGTTAATCGATAGCTGTGTAGCTCTGTCCCCCATGACTTTCATTCCTGTTTAAGTTAAAGTGATAACTGACTTACAAATGAGTAAAAGGCACAGAATTTGTCAGAAAAACACCAACAAAAAACCCATCCCCCCAAAACTCTATCGTCTCTTCATCAAATCCTGCCTAAGTTTCTGACCTTGGTGTATCCTCCATATTATTCATTTACTCGATCCATTTTCTGACTTAAGTCCCATTCACCGCGTGAAAGTCTTCACAGTCTGCCACCCGTCCCGCGCAGTTGACCACCCCCTCCATTCCTACAGCATTTGAAGGCCACCCCTCACATTCTGCAACCCCAGTCCTGTCTTTCTAAGCGGTGGGCAGAGCTGTGGCATCAGATTGTCACCTGCCTTACTTAGCATCTGCCCTTAGAGCCAGGAAGCACAACAGTATCTGAAAACAGAGATGGGGGTGGATGGCCACCAACTGAGGGAACTTCAGCTGAGGTCTCATTCCTCAATACGCGATGCTGTAGGCACCATCTACCCTGGTTTTCTCTTTGTGCTGAAAATGTCCATAGTTCTGACCCTGACACGGCTCTTCTTAGAGCTGATTCTGTAAAGGGACTTGCGCATTTTGGTTCTCTCCTATGGGGGAAACTCCTGAGGCAGTCTCCCCCATTCTCTGTTATTCCTTTCTCCAAAACCAGCTTCCTTAAAAACAGTGATCTTGTTAACCAAAGGGATGAAAGCAGGGTCTTCCCAGATGTGGAAGGCAGTGTCTTCCCAGATGTGGAGGGAGAACCCACTCCCCCTGGGGGTCAGGTGCTCGTTTCTCAGAGCCTGTGGTGGTCCACATCCATCCACGTCCTCCAGTAGGAGGTCAGAGCAGACTTTCTAATGTTGCGACCTAATTATTAAAGCACCAGGGTCTGTCTAAAGGAGTCCTCGTTCTCCGAGGTGGGAAATGAAGAGGGTAAACACTCACATTCCAAGATGCTGCTGGGTAGTGGGGAGCCCCTTCAGCTGGCCCTGATCAGTGCTGTAGCTGAGCAGAGGATCACAGAGGGAGCCAGGCCCAGCAGGAAAGAAGCCAGCTTCTGGGGCTTGCATGTCTTGGAGTCAACAGGAGATGCCAAAAAGTTTTGCCGAGTAACAGTGAGAAACTGGATGCGGTGGCTCGTGCCTGCAACCTCAGTCAGTGCTTGAGAAGTTGAGGCAGGAGAATTGCCATGAGTTCAAGGTCACTTTTATTAAGAAAAACAGAACACAAATAAGGGAATTATATTTGCTGGGTGTGGTGGCACACATGTATAGTAGTAACCTTGAAAGGCAGAGGCAGGAGGATCAGGAATTCAAAGCCAGCCTTGGCCAAATAGTGAATTAGAGGCCAACCTGGGCTACGTGAGAAACTCTTTCCAAAAAAAACTAAACCTAAGTCTGCAACCACCACCACCACCACCACCACCACCACCACAACCACCATCTGTGTGGAGCGGCCACAATTCAGTGATGCTGAAGGGCCTGGGCCTTGAGGTCAGACTCTCTGGGTTTGGATATGAATCACAGATCTCTTTCCTGCTAATTGTCTTTAAAAATTAACTTATAGATATAAAATGCATACAAGAATATCTGGCATATTAGTGAACATTCAAAAAGTATTCGCTATTATAGTGACGATTGAATTAGAAGACTTTTTCCCCTAGAGAAACAAGCGGTCCCGAGACCACCAAAGACGAGCGCATAGCTGTGAAATAGGAACCTGAAGACTGAAGTTTGGCCCAGCAGGCACTGTCGGGGGCAGGGGACAGGATCTGACCTCTGAACCAGGAAGGATAAAGTAAAGCCTACAGGGCAAGAGTTGCCCGACTGAAGCTTCCAGTGGCGGAAGTGATGAGCGCAAACCTCAAAACGCCCGGTGAACATCAGGCTCCTCATCAAGCATTCATCGGTTTCCTTTGCCGAGACTTCTGAGTGTCTGCAGAGAGCCGGCCCCTTCTCCAGCCGGGGAAGCCAAGAAAGTCATTAACTACTTCTGCCCCCGTGGGCTCCAGGTTCTACCAGCAGCCCAGCCTCCAGTGCCTTCCTAATCCTCGTCGACTCCTCTTAATATGTCAGTCAGGTAGCCATGACCAAATCCTGCTTCCAGACAAAGTAATTAACTCTGGCCCCAAACAAAAGAGCAGACAGGTGACAAAATCAGGCATCAAACCTGGATGGGAACCAAAACGTCAGGCTTAGAAACCGGTCCACCTTCCATTCCACCTTTATCTCCATCATGCTAGATGATTTGGGTAAGGGGGGAGATAAGGCTTGGGAGTTGAGAGGCGTGAAGGTGTGAGGTCAGTCTGTTAGGTCTTTCCGTGGATGCTCGGCTTCCCGTAAATGATACTGGAAGTGAGAGAAGGGAATGTAAACTTGGCACTGAGGTCCTGGGAAAGGGAAGGGTGTTGTTTGTAGTACGAGGAAGTAGGCTTTGAGGGACCGGAGGGGACAGAACCATAGCTTGCAACCATGGCTTGGAACGTCAACCTTTCTGCTGAGCGGAGAGCTGTAGCTCCGTGGTCTGAGCTCCTGTGAGGAAGTCAGAGAGAGGTTCCCCAGTAAAACTGAGTGTGATAGGAGGAGCTGAGGTCAGAGAGCATCCCAGGTCACTGAGTGTCTAAGGTCAGCTGACGGAGGAGGAGATGGCAGGATGGGAGCCAGCTCTAGCTCTAGAAGAGAATCCAAGAGGCTCAGAGGTAAGCTGGTGGTACCGGTTAGAGAAAGGCCAGCACACTGCTGTCTTCCTGCCCAGGAGAGGGAGTTGGGAGCTTTGCCTGCGGGGTTCCAAGTAGAATGTCAGAGGAAGCAGGCCCAACTGCAAGCCTTCCTGCCCAAGAGTGGACAAGCCACAAGGCCTTGCCTAACTCAGGTGCTAGGGAACACTGACTCTACCAAACAGCTCAGGGAAGCGAGGGCTGCCTGCCAGGACTCTGAGGTACACACCATGGCAAGATGGGGGAGGACAAGGCTATGGACCGCTCCGCGCGCTGGTTCTGGTTCGTAGCTGTGCTGGTGCAGGAAATCCCTGGTTATTCAGGTCATGCTTGGTGAATTTCTGAGATCCCAAATTACCCAGCGAGCAGGCTTTGAGGACGGTAGTTTGGGCTAGGAGGAAGCGGGCTAGTGAATCCACCCCACGAGCCAACTGTCTTCTGAAGTTGCTGATCAGTTCCTTTGGACTAAGGCACATTTATTTTTCAAAGTGATAATTCTAATTTTTTTTTACGGGGTGTGGAGAAAGGAAGATTAATTCCAAACAGCCCTGGAGATCAAAAGTAAAAACAAAGAATGGGGTACAAGGAGAAGAGGGGGTGCTTTTAATAAGAATGAGCACTTCCAAAGTGTTCTGCTTGTAGGAACCACCTGGTTCTTGCTGAAATGAAGGCCTTGATCCGGTGAGGCTGGGGATGGTGGAGGTTCTGTGTGTCCAATAAGCATGGAGCTCGTGAGTGGTGTGCGTCTTCCTGCTGTATACCGAGACTCCGAAGTTAGCTTCAGAAAGTGGGCTGCCTTGGAGCTCTGTTGTCAAGCCCTTGAAAGCAGAATGGGTACCAGGTTTCTGTTCACAGACATCGGTGAAGCCATGAAATGAAAGTTTACATTCTGCTTCTGCTGCATCTTAGCAATGAGGCTCAGGACAAATCACGGGTCCTTGCTCACCCTCAGCTTCCTGATTTAAAAACTAGAAATGTGAGGACCCGACTTGGCAACTGCCTGCCCACAGGGTGGTGGTAAGGGCTGGATGAAACAATGTAGCAAACAAGCCATACTAACCAAAGTGCTTCCAGCATATAATCAGCATTATTATCACTACTGCTGTACTATGTGAAGTTAAAGACACCTCTCCTTTTCTGCGTGTGCACACGTGAGTGTGCAGATGCGTGTTTGCCACCCACTTTGTTTTTGGTTCTTTAAAAATCAATCAGTTAATATTTACATGCGTGTACATTTTCTCTGGTGTGCATGCGGAGGTCAAAGGGCAAGTGGGAATCAGTCCTCTCCTTCAGCCATGTGGGTTCTGGGGATCAAACACAGATCACCAGGCTGGGCAGCAAGCGCCTTTATCTGTGGAGTCCTCTTGATGGCCAGGGTGGTTTGAAAGAAAATGGCCCACAAAGGGAGTGACCCTATCAGGAGGTGTGACCTTGCTGGAGAAGAGGAAGTGTGCCACTGTGGAGGCGGGTTTTGAGGTCTCATATATGCTCAAGCCACACCCAGTGAGGTAGATCCCACCTCCTGTTGCCTGGAAGCCAAGATGTGGGACTTTCAGCTCCTTCTCCAGCTCCATGGCTGTCTGCACACCACCATGTCCCACCATGATGATAATGGACTGAACCTCTGAGAATGTAAGCCGTTTTCCTTTACAAGAGCTGCCGTGGTCATGGTGTCTCTTCACAGCTGTTGAACCCCTAACTAAGACGATGGTCCCCACTATTCTTTTGAGACAGAGTTTCTCACTGATCTGGAGCTCTGGATGCAGGAGGCTAGGCTGACTGGCCAATGAGACCCAGAAATCTGCCGGTCTCCATGCCAACAGAACCGTCTCCACATCACCTCACTACAGCTTTTCACACGTGGTTCGGTCTCACCCTTCTCTGCCTGTCTGTTTTGTTGATTGTTGGTTGTTTAATTTGAGACACACTTATGAATAGAGTTCTGCCCCCAGTACGGATTTCTCTTTGATGTCCCTATTCATGGGTGATTTACAGACTTTGACATGCGCTGCACCCTGAGGATAATCACACACAAATCCTTCCTCTGTCTACCTGAGCAGACTCTCAAGAGCTTGCTTGGGGTCTCTTAGAATGGACGACCAGCTTGGCAGTGCGGAGAACAGGCCACATTCTCTGAAAAAGAATTAGCCCCATGTGAGAGTCATGGCTGATCCTGTTGACAGCCCTCCTGCCATTGTCCCTGCCATGCTGAAGTAACGGTTCTCGCACCGGCAGCCCTCAGTCACAAGCAGTCTCTGCAGATGAGGACGGTTGCGGAGGAACAACAACGGACCAAGAAGGGCAGCGACTTTCTCCAAAACGTCGGTGTGACTGAAGGTGTGGTGGGAGTAGGGGCGGATCTCTCAGGAGTGCTCCCCGGGGACCCGCCTAGAGACTTCCTGAGGCCAGCAGGAGGCAGATAATGAGGTGTTTCAAGTTCAGGGTCAGGATGGATGTTTTCTTCTCCAATTCACCTAATTTTAACTGATCAATATCTCCTGAAGTTCTCTTATGGGACACTTCTGCTGTCCTGTGATCAGAATGAGGCCTCATCAGGCAGAACTGACAAGACTTGGATTTCCCTTTGGGGAATCAGTTGCTTCATATGGGTTACTTCATGGCTCCCTCGTCGATAGTTGCTAGAGACACAGTCATTTAGAATGCACAGTTACAGAACATTAGTTACATAATCATGCGTGTATCAGTGGCAAAGGAATTGGGTCCTTAACTAGGCCAGTGGGAAACTCTTGTTGCTGTTGATCGTATTGGAGATAGTGCCTCACTGTGTAGCCCTGGTTGGTCTGGAATTCATTGAGGAGGCCAAGCTGGCTTTGGATTCTTATGTGTGAGTGTTCCTTACTCTTCTCTCACTGTGACGAAGCACCATGGCCAAGGCCATTTACAGAAGGAGTTGATTGGGCTCACAGTCCCAGAGGGTGGGTCCATGACGGTGGAGCAGAGGCAGCAGGTGGCAGACACGTTTCAAACCATGAGCACAAAGCAGAACAAAGGAAACAGCAAGAGTAGTGAACTCTCGAAGCCAGCCTCCAGCGACATGCTTTCTCCAACAAGTTCACGCTCCTAAATCTCCCAAATGGCACCATCAGTTAGGGCCCAACTAGCCAGATGTCTGAGACTTCGGGGACATCTCAGTCAATCCACCAGAGCAGGGTTGTGAATTGTCCCTAGGCCCACTCCTGGGCTCAGGGTTCACAGTCATGGAGTTACCTTCTAAAGACAGACATTGCAAGGTGGTTGTGGTTCATTTTTAAAAATGTGTGTATGTGCCACGTATATGCAACTTAGTAAATTAATAACAGCTTAATAGGAGATGGGCAAAGGGCTCTAAGACTTGTTACACAGGAGAGAAGATAACTGGGCTGTAAACACACAGCCAGGAACTGCTGGTCACTGTGCTGGCGTGTGCGTGCACACACACATATGCACCCACTCACACAGCATACAGACATGGGACCTGCCTGTCACTGTGATAGCATACACACATATACACACACACTCACATGTACACACACACTACACACACAGCATACAGACAT